TTTTCGAGGAAAAGAACTAGAGTGTCCGGCTCCACCTGAAAGGAATTTCCGCCTGTCAATCATGATTAAATTTTACACGAGAAAGCTATCATTTCACCAACCTTTGGGATGATTTTTGTGCCAAAGCTTTGAATGGCGAGCATTTTGTCTCCCTCTTGACCTCAACATCTTGACCCCCGAAACAGCAAGTTTTCTTCAGACCACTTTAGTCAGGTAACTGTGCACGTGTCTTGTCTCCCTTGCCAAAAGACCACGACGGTACTTGACGTTAGCTGAAAAAATTGGTTTGCTGGATAAGATCAAGCAACAACCACGAAACACTAGTCAACATCGGATGGTGGAAATTATCGGATTGGCAAAGACTGCAATTTCGCACTTGATAAAACCAGAAAATGAGCTACGAGAAGAATGGGCACGATGTGAAGGACGACGAGGGGACTTCCAAAAACGGAAGCATGAATGCAATGATCCAGATGTCGATGAGGCCCTTAACACTAGAAGCGCCAGAGCAGTCATTTTGACTGTTTTCATCATTACACCTTGGATTCCTAAAAAACGCTTTAACTTGAGAAGTCACAAATTTTTGGATTTTCCTTAAAAACCTTGAAAATTATATGTGTACCAAATATGAATCGAATAAAATTAAAATTAACGAAAATATTATTTGTTATACCTAAAAGTGCCACGAGCAGTCATATTGACTGCTAGGTAATACTGGATAGATTTATCGTGTTATCTCTCTCAGAAAACACTCTTTCTATGAAAAATGTCTGGCAGACGAATTCCTTTCATTCATTGATTATTTACAACAGGATATAGGTCCCTTCCGCTCAGATTATTTACAACCTTTCGTCGTGGACTATGACATCTACTTTAAAAACTAGAGCTGGGTTAATATGGAGCTCAAAATGTGCTAAGAGTTGCCGGGTCCAAAATTGTATGCATAAAGAAATTTCGGAGACAATACGCCAAATGTGTGGAGGTTGATTGGGGGTGAATCGATGTTACGCCATATTAAAAAGTGCACGGAAGCAGAAACAGTTTTGAACAATGAAGAAATTTTGACAATATCTTTAGAAAAGCTTCACGCTTTTATTGCTATTATTCATGCAAAAGAAGCACATGGTTGCAATGATACGGATTATGATTTTTTGTGAAATATTAAATTAGTTCCTCCTTTTTTTTTTTTTTTTTGAGAAACAATGTTTCGCAATCGTTAACAAGATATTATGAAATATCTAAGGTTTAACTTGAAATCAACTAGGATTCAGCATTTAGAAAGTGATAAGTTTGCATTGTTTTCAGATATTTGGAAAAACTTTATACAGAACTGCGAAATTTCCCATAAGCCAGGAAGAAATCTAATTGTGGATGAGCATTTCCATCCAAAGTTTATATAGTATATATAGAATAAACCAAACAAATTGGGTATCAAATTTTGGATGCTAGTCGATGTATGCTCCAAGTTTATGTGCATGCTTTTCCATATCTTGGAAAAGATATATCGAGAAACCAAACTGAAAGTCATCCCGAAAATGTAGTAATACATCTTCTAAGCCGTTATCTGATTTCAGGAGTTAGAAATTTGACTGCGGACAATTATGCTCCTCACTATCATTAGCTAAACGATTTAAAATGGAAAACAGAAGTTTTGTGAGCAAAGTGAGAAGGCATCAAAAATAAATTCCCCATGAAGTAAGAAAATCAAATCGCGGCTATTTGAAATAGTTTTGCTAAAGAATGGTGAAACTGCACTGAATATCTATTAGGGAAAATGAATATAAATGTCCTACTATTAAGTACCTTACATTCGAGTGTAACTGTAGACTCACAAAATAAGAAGAAAGTTCCTGAAACAGTAGAGTTCTAGAACAAAAGCAAATGTGGAGTTGATATCCTTAATCAGATGACGCGTAAATATTCTCTTCGGGCAGCCTCACGTAGATGGCTTGTGCATGTCTCCCATACTATGCTGGAAAGAATGCCTACGATATCTACCATAAATTGAGTGATAAAAATATTACAAGGCACGACTTCCTATTTCAATCAGCAGAAAAGTTAAGAGAACTTTATTTAAACAGAAGATAAAGCACAAAATTGCCCCAGGAAATTTCCATCTCTAGCAATAGACTCTCGAGGAAAAGATGTTAGTGCCACATTGGACGTTGTAACAACAAAACAAAACCAGTGATGTGTGTAAAAATTTTCATATTATGTGTGTGGAAAATGCACTTTCAGTATTGAAAAAGTTTATTAAGTAATAATTGTGAAAAGCTACAATATGAGTTTTATTAAGGGTAAGTTGAAATTTATTATAAAATATCTATTTTTTATAAAAATAACCTGTTGTTATTTAAAGAAGTTCTTAAATAACTATAATATTCTTAAAACCATTATAAAGCATTTGCATTTTGATATATACATTTAATTTGCTTAGCAGTCAATTTGACTGCCGTTGGCGCTTCTAGGTAGGGAGAAAGCTCGGCGCTTATAGTGTTAATGAATGGTTACAGGACGAGCTGTGCGAGTACGCGGGCCCAGTGTTAAAATGCAAAGCAGAAGAACTCGCTAAAAAGCTGGGACATGATGACTTTAAAGCTACAGATGGTTGGTTGTCTCAAGGGAAATCTAGACATGACATAAAATTCAAGAAAACACATGGCGAGAAAGAAAGTGCTGATAGTGCAGATGCTGAAGGATGGAAATCATTAAACCTGCCCGAACTTCTTGAAAATTTTTCAGCAAATGGCATCTACCACGCTGATGAAACTGGGCTGTAGTATCGTGCTACACCATTCGGCTCGTTAAATTACAAACATGTTGCAATCTCTGGCTCCAAAAAGGCAATGGATTGCATAACTGTCTTGTGTTGCTCAAACATGTCATGAACGGATAAGAGGAAGCTGTTGGTTATAGGAAAAAGCACTAAGCCTCGTTGCTTTAAAGGAATTAGGATGGACAATTGACCAATTGTGTATTGTGCGAACAGAAATGCGTGGATAACCTCTAAACTTTTAAAAGAATGGCTGAGGGATTGAGACAGAGAGCTACACCACCAGTCGAAAAAAGTACTACTTCTTCTTGACAATTGTGCAGCATATCATCATTTAGATTGCTTGAAGAACATCCAACTGGAATTTCTACCTCCCAGGACCACAGCTTTGGTTCAACCAATTGACGAGGGCATCATAAAAAATTTGAAGACCCTTTATCGTGCAAGATTGATAAATTACATTTTTGAAGCAATTGAAGCACATTTGCTGACCTGATCGTCAAAAGCTAGCGAAGTCAATGCAAGGATCGACATCTGATAAGCAAATACATTTTTGGACGACAGCTGGTGAAAAGTGAGCAGTGAGACAATTCAGAACTGTATTTCTGACTGTGGTTTTGGAGATGGATGTGGACATGCTCATTGAAAGTAAAAATGATGACAGACATGTGGAACTTCAAGAGGTACAAAATTGCGATGAAAATGAAGATTATGACACTGCAATCATTGCTTAAGTTGCAGCAAAACACATGACAGCATCGGAAGACCAAGAAACTGATGATGATGATGCTGCTAATAAATTGGTGCAAGTGATAACACAGGATGCGAGGAAATGCATTGAAACTTTGTGTGGTATTTCATGCAGGAGGGAAATGAAGCCAGCCCTCTTGCTGCGTTAGATGTTCGTGACGATTTCATTCACGTGCAATCCATCAAGAGAACCCATCAGATCACATTGACTTAAGTTCTTCAAATGTTGACTGTAACTTGGTAAGAGCTTGTTTTTATTGTGCTTCACATGCTGAGTATCGTGAAGATCATTTCTTAGAATTTTTTTCGAAATTAATTTTCTCATTGAAAAACGTTCAACTGCAGTTCTTGTTTGTGCATGTATGTTCGCCATATGTGTGCACAGCACAATAAAGGTAATACAGTACAGTCCTTAATTCGGACACGTCGGGACTTCGGCGATTCCCGATTAGGGTTTTTTCCGTATTATAGATTATCAATTTAAATCTGGTAAGATGACATGCAGAAATTATACAATTAAAAATATGAAACCGTAATTTATGAAATAAAGAGCAATTATGATCTAAAGGGTATCAAAATTTACAAAAAAAAAAAAAAAAAAAAAAAAAAAAAAACAAAAAAAAAAAAAAAAAAAAAAAGCTTAATATTTATTTGTTTACTTTATTAAACATTTCTTTCAATGTAAGTTGTTTAAGTTGCTCCATTTTTTGTGCTAATACTTTCTTTTTAATTCTATAAACAGACATAATTTCTTGTTCAGTTACAAAGTACTGTTCAAGTCCTGTAATTGCTGTGTCGAGAATACTGACTAACTTGTCAATCAAAATTTTATCGTTTTCCAATAACCTCTCTGTCACTTTCTTAACTATCAGAAGTGCGCATGGGTAAACGTTTGTGGCTTTGAGGTCTGGATTATAGATTATTCCGGATAATGAACTTCTGGATTACGGACATTTTACTGCAATTACATTTTAGTGCATGATTTACATGAACATTTACTCTTTGATACTTATAGCACGTCCCGTATTACAACATAGGACATGTTTGTGTATTCGGACCAGCCGGTTATTAGGGCCAAAACGATCGCTTCCTGATGTGGTCCGATTAACTGGAATCGACTGTAATATCTTTGATTATAGCAAATAGTGTATAACTGTCGATAGCAAATAGTCTATAATGACTATTTGCTATTGACAGTTTTGTTAAATTATCGATAAGAAATAGTCGTTAGTCAATGGCAAATCCCCGAGCACTGTAATTCATGGTGGCAAATCATTCTTTTTCAAATAAACTGCTGATGGGAATAATTAATTTATTTTTTAAGATGTCTTCATCTTAAAAAACATTTAAACATTTTTTATTTATTTTTAGTTGTAAAAGTAAAAATCAAGCTATTGATTATAATGGGAAAAGAAAATTTATATAAAAGTTTGGTGGTATTTGGTATTGAATTTTAAAAAGAAAACGTATTTTTTAGATGGATTTTTGTCATCTGATGTCATAAAAGTGACTAATGCATTGAAACGAGCTAATTATCGAGAGTATCGAAATCAACAGCAACAATATTCTTATCATCTGTTTCAGGACATTCTAGTTTCACGAAAGGTAAGTGTATTGATGATAGCTTTCTGCCTGACAGCTTTTGATTGAAAGTTTTTGGTAGTTCATTTGTGCTTTCAGTCTTTTTCTTGTAATTTAACACTGCCCACATTTAAGATTGTTTTAATAATATATTCTTCCTTTTCAGAAATTTTATCAATTACCAAAAGGATGTCTGTAGATTTAATTATATTTTATAAAGGTTTAATAAATATATTCTACATAAAGAAATTTAAGTAAAATATGTACTTTCTTATTTAAGAAAACTTATAAATTGCCTGTTGAAAACATACATATAAATTCAGTTGTATCTTGTAAAGCTGTGATTTCTGACCAGTGGGTCACAGTGACTTTTTTGGGTATCACCAGTTCTCAATTTAAAAAATCAAACTTATATTTTGAATTTTAAAAGCAGGTGATAATGTGCATGCATTTTACTTATGGTTGGAAACATGCAATGATGTTGTTGTGAACATCATTGTGAGTTTAAGAGAAAATAATGAGCGGTTTGTTAAAATTTAGATTAGATGAAAGATCTTTTAATATATAGCATTTTAATACTATTTAGCACAGTGTAATAGGTTCATTTTACAATACGCAACATCCACAAAATGATCGTTACAACGCAGTTCGATCATCCATCTTTTTGAACAACAATCTTTCTCGTTGCCATTCCGTAACAGAGAAAATTACCTCTCATGCAGTTTGATCGTGGCGCGACATTCTCCCCACCTTGAATTTGGGGATACAAACTCAAACAGTAACATCATGATAATACATACATACAATTTCACATAACTATAACGTACAAATAATAATAGAAATATTTCAAAGTATTAGAATGCAAATTGAAATCATTATTTTAGAGTTCAAACACAGAAAGTTCAAAAGTTTGTTTAGAAGTTTATAAATCCAGTCTTTTAGCTGGTTTTATTTTTTGTCCTGAGCGAGACACGTGAACAGTTTCATTAGAGTCAGTATTAAGCTCAGGATTTTCAGCTACCTCTACCGGAACCTTCTGAGGTTCCGATATAACTTTCTCATAATTGGGTGTCAATTCCAAAGGGTACAGTCGTTGGATTGGTCTTAATATGTTTCCCTTTTCAGTTCACAGTTTTGCAAGTCTGATGATTCCATCTTTTCCTGGAAAGAGTTCCAGTACTCTCCCTAGCAGCCAATGGAGCCTTTTTTTTTTTATCATCTGTACCAATTAACACTATGTCACCTACATGTATTTTATCTTTTCTTTTGTTAACTGAAGAATGAAGGAAACCCAGATACTCCCTTTTAAACCTTCGTTTTAGATTTTCATGAACCTTTCGAATGTCTCCATCTCAAAACAATATCAGTCTTTTCAGTTTGATCTAAATCAGGAACATCATTTAATGGAATGTCCTGAAAAAACATTGAAGGGGTCAAGGTTTTCAGCTCTTGTTCCTCGGATAGGTAAGTTAACGGTCTGCTGTTCATGATAGATTCGCATTCACAGACAAGAGTCTGCAATTCCTCACAAGACAAACAGGAGTGTCCAAGATTTTTTCTCAAAAGATCTTTCAAAATCCCAATCAAGCGTTCCCAGAAGCCTTCCCACCATGGAGAGGAGGGTGGGTTAAACTTCCAACGAATTTCGTTGACTCTAAATTCACTTTCAATTGTAGTCCAATCTAATTGTTTCAGAGCATTATTAGTCCTGTAAAATTAGTACCATTGTCTGAATACATCACAGAAATTTGTCCTCTTCTGGCTATAAACCTACGCGTAGCTTGGATGAAGTCATTGGTACTCAGTGAAGGTATTAGCTCAAGATGGACCGCTCTAAATACGGCGCAAGCAAAAGGTACTATCCACACCTTTTGTTTAGATTTAGTCAACAGAGGTCCAGCTGTATCTACACCCAATACTTGAAAAACTGCGCCTACTTCTGTTCGGTCTTTTGGAAGAGGCGGAAAAGGCACCTCAAGATGTTTTACCTTTTGCCTTTTATATGTTAAGCATTCTTTGATAACACTCCAGACAGTTCTTTTCCCTTTCACTATCCAAAATCTTTCCCGTAAAATAGTCAGTAGAGTTAATGTCCCAGCATGCTTGTTAGCAATATGTTCTTGGGCTATAAATCTTCTCACTGCCAAGTGTTTCGATGGTAGAATTATTGGATAAATAAAATCTTTCGATTCTTCCTCATTTATCAATCTGGACTTCAATCGTAAAATTCCTTCTTCATCTTCAAATATTAGAAGGCCTTTCAAATTTTTTTCGCATTTCTTCATTACGGTATCATTCCTTTTGTATTACACGGAAAATAGTTTTTTGTGCATTTAACAATTCTTCATTTTCAAGTTCCGTACATTTTCTTAAGTCCTTGGCCTTTGGTTGAAAATGCAGTATCCAAGCCATAACCCTAATCATCTTTGAAAATCTAGAGAATCTTCTGGCTAACTGCAATGCAATTGACTCTAGCTCTGTGTTACTAGCAGAGGTGACTGACTTTCGTTTTGCTATCTCTACTTCTTTCTCGTTAATATTTACAGCTGACTTTGGCAACTGCTAACTAGTGAAAGTATTTTCCTTTTAGTTACCTTTTCTCTTTCACCAAATTTCAAAAATTCGGTGTCTATTTCTAAGGTATCTAAATCTTTGTCCCAAATCAGTCCTAATAACGGTGATGTTTTACTTTCTGAAAATGCAGAAATGCCAGAACTTTCCCATCCTCTGAGATCAAACATTCCTTCTTTCATTACATTAGTTGCAGATTCGATGAATATTTCTAGTTCGGCATTATTTTGTGCACTAGTTACGCAATTTTCGACATAAAAACTATCTTGTAATTTTTTAAGAAGCTCTTCAGAATATTTTTCTTTCCACGATTCTTTGGATAAATGATGGTCAATAACCACCATCAGCAAAAATGGACTACAAGTAATGCCAAATACCACATGGGTGTGACGAAATGTCTTCACTCTACCATCATCTCCATACCAAAGAAATCGTAAAATATCTCGATCTCTTTCATTTAGAGAAATCTGTAAAAAAGCTCTACTGATGTTTGAAATCACACCAATTTCATGTAAGCGAAATCTTGCTAAAATAGAGGGAATAGTTTCAATCAAATTAATTCCAGTCTCTAAACAGTCATTTAGAGATGGCTGATTAGGAAGCTTTTCCGAAGCATCAAAACGGGTTAAATTTTCATGGAAGATAGTGAGGTTGTTTCCTTAATGACTGGACGATGTGGGAGGTAATGAGCAACGGGTAAAGACAACCTTTTGTGGAATTTTTTCAATCACTCCTTCCTGCAGCCATTCATTAAACACTTCATGATACTTTTCACGATAACCGATTTTTTACAACTTCTTTGTAGTAGATTCAAGTCTTTTCAAAGATAGGTCATCATTGTCAGGTAAGACTGCATGCTCAATCTTCCAAGGCATATCAACCTCATATCTACCATTTTCTAATTGATGAACTGTTTCTTGGAAATGAACCATAATAGCTCTTCTTGACTCTTCGTTAGTTTTTTTTTCAACAGGATCTCGGATACCCAATAATTCTAAGTCCCATAGTGATGAAATAGGCAAGTCTTCTTGAGATAACATAGAAACTATAGTCATATTTACATTGTGCTGACGCTCGGATTGAGGCACTTTACCCATCAAAGTCCAACCCAATTTTGTTTCTATAGCCACTAAACCTGTTCTTAGTTCTTCTCGTTTGCCAGTAAATAACTTCCCTGCAACGTCTGCCCCTAACAGTACTTCAATAGGACCTGAATTCTTTTGGGTATCAGTTAAGCGTATTTCTTTCTTTCCTAATTCGCGAATCCAAGAACCGTATCTTATGCTTGAAATATCATTACAAATAACATCATGGTCTACAGCATCTAATTTACACGAATAATTACCATCAAGGCTACTCAAATAAATCTTGTAAAATTTATGTTTATAAATTTCAGTTTTTGTTCCACCAAATAAAGAGTGACTAAATTCTTCCTCCCACTGCAAGTCAAAACCCATTTTGTCTGTGGTAGACTTTAAAACATAACTTTTTGAGCTTCCTGTATCAATCATTAATCTAACTTTACGCCTCTTATTCTTACCCTCTATGTTTACAACCAGGGTCTGAAGGAAATGCAGAAAAGTCAGTTCTGCTCTCATGTCCTTTGTTTGTTCGGGGGTAAGGTTCTTTGTCACTCACCTGATACACAATTTCTCGAACAACAGGTGTTTCCTGATGATTTTATACACCACAGTTTGTAACATTTACGGGAAATGGCTACTGAGTTCCATAACTGTAAATTATGATTCTGCAGAATGCAATGCTGCACGTGCTTCAAAAGGCCGTCATTGATCAGTGATGGTCAGTCACAGCCAGTCGCATAGACATTTTGCCTATCTTCAAAAAGGAAGAAAAAACCTAGCATCAACGATGAACTGTCTGCTTACTCATCACATCCAGTCCATGCAATGAACACAGTTAACAATGGATTTTGATTGGTGCTACCATCTGCGCATTAAAGAACTTTATCATGGACTTCACGTTGTAGTCATCAGGAGAAGAAATATGACCTGACACATCTTTGCGCACGGCAATGATGGTAATGTAAACAATTGTTAAATTACAACTGTTGCATAATTGTATGCAACAGTTGTACACCTACAAACTATCTGGCAACAATAACCACACCCACAAACTATCTGGCTTTTACCTTTGCATTTCAATCCTTTTGCAGCACCATGTTTTGGTGATGTGGGAAACTTACTTTATGGTTGACCCTAGTATCAGTTGAAATGTTTGAGTATGGTGTTTTTTCATCAAATATGCAAAATGAGGCATGATGTTTATCATTCCTGAATGCAACAGAAGTAATGGTGGTGGTCTGGTGTTTCCCTCTGTAACCATTTTATGGTGTTGGATTTAATATTTTCCTTTCTCTGCCCTGTATGTATTTTAATCTCAATAACATTAGTTTTGAAGTTGAGTTTCATAAAAAAAAATATTTAATTTACTCT